AGACTTGCCTCCCCACTATAGCTTCAGAAACCTTGCTTGTTAGCTCGGGCGACGAGCAGTATTATTTGATGTCACATGACAGCGGCAATTGTCCTACAAAAAGCAGACTTGAGATGGGAACAGCTTTTTCCCCTCCTCAGACAGGACCATTGCCGCAAGGTAAGCAGTAAATGCATTAAAGCTCTCAACGCTACTGTTGAACCAGTTCGACAGAGTGTCACTAGCTGTGTTGGTAATGTCGAACCAGTTCGACGGGCGAATAGCATAAAGACACCCACAAACAAAACTCGCCATATCCATTTACCAAGAAGGCTTTGCGTTACATTTAAATTACATATGACATGCATAAATGCTCATCTTGCTCAACATCAAAACTTTCAGTAGTGTATTTACCTCAAAAAAGAAAATATCGCGAGTTTAAAAAGTTTCAGCCAAACTTCTCGGCACACAACTACCACAAACGGCCATTGTTGACTTTTGGCACTTCACGTTGAGCGGCATGCAGTCCGATTTTTTCTTTATAATGTTATCGTTTTTCACATTCGATCATAATTTATTGTTTGCTGACGGAACGAAAATACTCAAGGTTCCTTAATTTCTGAAAATTAGTAAATTTCGATGTAATTAGTTAAAAACAAAAACAATTTGAATCATAACATCATCGATTGGATGAACTTGTACAATCATGGCAACAGCGGTAAACAAACAACTCCACATGCATAGTAATCCCGTAAGACTATTACAATAATTTTGTTACATCTAACTTAATTTTCTAGAATTATTGACACGCATGTAAAAATCTGTGTTAAAAATATCTCATTTTTATAGAGTTTGCAAATGATATTGTTTGATAACTTTCGGACACATTGACAAGCCAACAAACGTCAGTGATATGTTTGGGCGTGGCCTAAATCGCGATTTTTTTAGTTGAACAAAGTCAACAAACACTGCAAATAATGACAAATATTGGATGATACGCAAAATCTGAACTGATACACATTCTAGGTAAACCATTCAATAGCAAAATAATGCAGTTTACGAAAAATTATCAAATACTTGCAATTTTAGCTATCATTTCTGAAACGGGAAGCACGTACCACATGACATGTCGAAGCAAAATATACAAAAGTTGGTAAGCTATTATCAATAAAAAAAAATCCGAAACAGATTCAAATTCAAAAGAAAATACATAGTTTACTATTTTTCGACAACTGTTTACTACTAATTGATCTGGATAGCAGTCTCACGCCTATTTGTTTCATATTTATTCGTGATTGTCGCCTGTGCTTAACATCAAATTTGTAAGTCTAAATCCGAAACCGTAAAAGATTCCACGCTCGATGATTTGAAAATTATTTTCTGAAAACGACGGCAGCGGAGAGAGATATAACATATTGATATACCATAATAATAACAACAGAATATTGTTATTGGTCTGTCATTGAAAGAAGGACAATTTAGAATATTAAGGATTGTTTTTAAAACATTTACCCTACTCCCCAATCTTCAGAACGGATGAAAGTAGGTACACGTCGACTGGATGAATGTAGGACCTTTGTGATTTTGTACCCAAAACAAAATCAAACCCAACGTACTTGGTGATTTTGTACCCAAGAAAACTAAACCATATCTGTTTGATCATATTTATTTGTTCATGTTTATTGCAAACAATTTTATGATAAAACATTTCATCAAGTTCATAATATGACTAACCTAAATGTGCCTGGTCCTTAAGTGAAGTCAGTCCACACTGGCACAACTTGTATTGATTGATTGTGATCGGAAAGTAATAAATTCTTGTCACTGGAGAGGCCAGTAAATTAGTAAACCTTAAGTTAATTGTAGATCTAGTGTTTTGACAGAAAAGTGATAATAAATTAACTTCTTCATACAGAAAGCAATGCATAAGTTTGAAACTACAAAACTGTAATACACAAATATTTACGGGCACAAAAGAACATAACTTTTTGGGTACAAACTCTCAAGACATTTTACATACAAAAAGCACATTTCAAATGGATTTCATAGAACAATGGGATAAAAAAAAGATTTCTAATCAGTGGAATTCCATTTCACATTTTAAACAAGTATTTGTTTATGTAACCAAGCTCCATCTTCCCGAGGCAAGTGAGTTAACTGACTATAAAAGTCCAGTTTCCACCCTTGCCGAACTAGGCTGGTATTATGGAGTTACATTTTGGCTGGACTAACGAGTCTATGCATAGTCCAATCAAAATCGTGCACTGAAATTAGAAATCTGGTTCGTAAAGTGTCATGCAGATTTCGGGCGACTGCAGGATTTGCAAAGCATGTGCATCGCTAACTCGTTGTCAACAGATATTTTCTAAATCTTTTCATGCTTTTGATCAAGGTGCTCACGTGATTTGATGCACTTCGCGATGTGAGGCTCGTTTTGTCACAATATAGATCTTGATTATCAACCAGATCGTCTTGACTGGGCGCCACCGTTTTGTTTGAAGCAAATGCAAGCGATACGAGAGGTTGAATCTGATTGGTCAATAGGAGAGGCATAGAAAGGACATAACTCGTAATAGCCACTGGTGGCTCTACGATCGAGCCCAGGAATTCCAGCCTAGTTCGGCAAGGGTGGAAACTGGACTTTTAAAGTCAGTTAACTCTCTTGCCTCGGGAAGATGCCAAGCTCAGGTAGACGGCTAAAAGTAGAAAAAAAATCTGACAAATATGGACACCTCAGAAATGAGGGCTTTTAAAGTTATAATTCTATCTAACTTGTCCGATGGTTTGACGTTGCTCAATCAAAGAAAATTCCTTATGAAATTTTAAAAAAAATTATGACACTGAAAATTTCAAGCACTTACCTAAGATTATTCAAGGAAGGACAAATGTGTTGTGTTTTTTTATTGCAAATGCTTTTGTTTTTGGCATTTCTTGTTTCAATGCTGGCAAGGGCACTTTTATACACACCAACTGAGGAACTTGTGACACACCAGCTGATGAAGTTTGATACTGTGATTGCATATACAAGGGAAAAACAGGTTTGCAGCACTACATGTATGCGAAAATTATCCACATAAGGTGACATAAAGTCGGGTGTGTGGCTGACAGGACAAAATACATCTGACAAAGGTCATCATGTATACAGGGACATTTCTTTTCATTCCACCCAGAAAGCTGAGACATAAGATATGATGAGGACCTATACTGACTGAATAATCAGAAACCCATCAGATGATCAAGGATGTCAAATCCAAAGCTGGTGATGATCTGCATTTATTTTGAATTTTTGTATGTCATATTGACTGATAGACGAAAACCTGTTGATCACATTTCACAATGGTTCATGTTCCATCAGGGAACATGCATGAGTGTCACTGTCAAGCACACGAGAGCATGCTGCAACAAACCTGGAAAGTCCTGCCAGACTAACTACACATTATTTCATAGGTGAGAACCCTGAAAAAAAATACATAATGTAGGATAGTTCCTTATGTACTCCAACAGAACAGAACTGCAAGAATTTTCAATATACGTATATGTGCCCTATTCCTTTTTCAAAAGATAACATTCTCTTATAAATATATATATGGCTAACTCACCAGCTTAAGTGCCACCCTGGTTCTTGTGATTAAACAAACAAAAACATCATGTAGTTACTTATTCACAAAATTTATGTTCAGGTGAAAGATAACAATTGTTGAATAAATTATGTTTAAACTAAAGATATTAATTTAAGTCTGATCAGTTACACTGTGCTGATGCATTGACCTGTTGACCAATATCTAGTGTCCATACACATAATCATTGTGGGGGAAAAATATAACTTAATATTTTAGAAGCTGTGAACAGATGTAAATAATTAAACATTATCAAATCTATCATCAATACACAATCATGGCGGTCTCTATATTGATGGAATAAATTTTAAGATGTTCGTGAATTGTAAAATCATGCTAGAATCGATAAGTGGATTATAAAAGGAAAAATTCTTTAACTATACCACATTTAATTATACTAACACTGAAAATATCTAAATAGTATTTTATTATCCCCTGCCCAACAAAGTTGGCGGGGGATATGAAACGGGCTCCGCCTGTTCGTCACGTTTCGTTTCCGGAGCGTAACTCAGAAACCGTTTAATATATTTTCATGACACTTTGCATCAAGTACATGCTGAATTTGTGCCTTTTGCTATTTAGAAATTTTAGAAATTTTTATTTTTTTGCGTTTCCATGGCAACAAGATGGACTTAGGTTCTGTGAGGGTAGGGTTCGTTTCCGGACCGTTCAATGTTTTTTTTAATGATAATAAATTTACTGAAATGGTTCATAATTTACCATCGCGCTGTTATTTACCAATAAAAACATCAAATTTTTACTCAGTTAAAATTAAGATATCAGAGATCTGATTATTGAAATCAATTTGCACAAATTTAACGATTTAAAAAGGTTCCTAACATGAAACGAAAACCACCTTCAATAACGTAATTCAGGCAACATCACAAATTTACAAATTTTGTGTTCGTTTTGGTCCTAACCTTGGTATGATTGAAAACATCAGGAATTTTTTACGTAGTAATGTGTATTTCTCTATCAGGAATAAATGTGCAAAATATTTCTTCAATTGGCCCTTGTATAATGAAGCACCAACTGTTTGAAATCACCCACCCTCATTATAGAGTGCCTTATGCTAAAATTAATCCAGCAGGCAGGGCTAAGAAGTGTGAAAACAATTCATCAGGCTAAAGGTTAAGGAGTAATGCAGGATAAGTATACAAATGTAAAAGATATTTAGATTTTACTAAATCAATAATTTACTTTATATCCTCCCTCTCTCTTGACTGGTCAGCTCCGTCGGTATGTTTAGCTGCGGCATATTATCCCAGTGGTCTAATACTGTAAATCTGGCACAAGTCAGGACTAACTCTTAAGAAACACATGCACATGAAACAATCTTGTACAACGTTAAACTTCATTTCTTCTCTCCTCTTATGTCATTATAATTTTGATTTCTGCTTCTAGGGAGCCCAGTCAATTGGTCTTATGTGGTGGTTAATGGCTCGTGAAGTACTCCGCTTGCGAGGAACCATCAGCAGAGAACACCAATGGGATGTGATGGTGGATCTGTATTTTTACAGAGATCCAGAGGAGGTCAGTTTTACTACCTTTCTTTCAAAAGATACAGTGATTTGGCAGCTATTGACTATTGACTGGTAACTATTGATGGTACTTAACTGTTTCAACACCACAGGCTGGTGCACCAGTCAAGACATCATTCGTCCCGAGACACTGCAGGCCGGTACACCTGCCAGGCTATAGCCACGTCAAAATAGAAGATGATTTTATTAACTTTTTCAACACCGTAGGCCAGTTTACTGGCCAAGCCATAGTCCTGTCAAAATAGTACCTACCTTATGAACCTACCTGTCATATCATTCATTTATTAAATCTATCACATTTCACAATGTCTGAAAAACGTATTCCACAAAAATTACATTGTTGCAAGGTATTTTTCTTTTTCAAAGGACCAAGTTGAGCTTATGCCATACCATGGTGTCCTTTGTCCATATGTCAACAATTTATTCAAACAACTTCTTCTGGACCTATAATTGGAAATTAACGAAATTTGACTGGAAGCATCCCCAGGTGGTGGGGACTAAAACTTGTACAAATGGTGGGGCTGAATGGCAAGGCCAAATAGGGGTAATTTGGCTATATTGCTTTAAGCAACTTCTTCTCTGAAACTAAGAGCTTGATATCAACAATATTTGGTTGGTGGTGAGGATTCAAAATTGAATCCCCCTTTCTCTGTCCTCCCTCCCTCTTTTCTCTCTGTAATATATATTAAGTTCCTCCAAGTGTTGAGTTTTGTTTGAGCACATTATATTCTCATGAAAAGGTTTAGGCAAAAGTTATCACCACTTACAATGCCTGTTGATTGTGTTGATTTACCTTTTCGTAGGCTGAAAAGGAAGAACAAGCAGCCAGAGAACGTGACCAGGTGAAAGAAGAGGCCCCATCACAAGAGCCTTGGACTGGAGCTAGTGTTGCAGAGCAACCTTTACCAGCTGAAGTCAGTGACTGGGCTAGTGAGGCAATCAATGTCAGTTCAGTACCAATCCAATCATATGGAGGAGGCACTACATCAGATTGGTCTGCAACAGATGCCAATGACTGGTCAGCGCAAACTCCGGTGGGGGCTGCTGTACCTGCAGTTGCTGCAGTTCCAACAGTTCCAGCAGCTGCTGCTGCACCAACTCGTTCCCCAGGAGATGAGTGGGGCGGGTCTGGAGCTGAAAACTGGAACTGAGTGTCCTGGTTACTATCAAGACACATCAAAGAAATAAAGTCTTGTCATAAGATACTACTTTAGTTTTTACTGGCTCAGCTGGCTGAAAAAAATCAAGTTAACTTCAGTAATGAGTGTTATCCATCTGTAAACATCTTTGTCTCAGAACTACAGGACCAATGAAGCTGAAACTTCCCATGCTAAATACAACCTGTATACCCCTGAGGAATTTTTCTGACGTATGATTGACTGATATTGGAAGGTCAAGGCTACTTAGTATGATCTAGTCACACAAAAAAGCTTGTGTACACAATAACTTCAGTGAATCTTGTGATTACTAAATCTTTATTACATCAGTGCCAGAATTCTTGTATTTTGGCTGTCATCACATCATAAAATCTAAAAAATTTGAACGAAAGCCATGTTCTCTGTAATCTATCCATGGGCGGTCTGGCAGCCTAGTGGTTAGAGCGTTCAATCGTCACGCCGAAGACCCGGATTCGATTCCCGACATGGGTACAATGTGTGAAGCCCATTTCTGGTGTCTCCCGCCGTGATATTGCTGGAATATTGCTAAAAGCGGCGTAAAACCATACTCGCTCACTGTAATCTATCCAGAAGTAATTAAGAGGCCGACGATTTGATGAGGGTAGGAGGTAGGAAGAGATTGTCTGCCACGAAAATCGTTCCAAAATGTTTTATATTTAGAGTATTCAGGCTCATTGTTTTAATGAAATATATATCTGGTGTTGCTGCTGTAGCTGAAAAGAAAAACGAATCTTCCCCACAAATTCCCAGGAGTAGTATAGGTAATGGTGATTCTGGACCACTTCCACTGGAGCCAGATTTATATACCTATACTGCTACTACAGATGGAATTTTTTATGCAAAAATGATGATGCGATTTAACGATCGTCATGAGATTAAGCTAAATTGTAATGAAAATATTCTCTATTATTTTTACTCATACGCATACCATTATTTTGAACAAAGTGATATTCAACACTTTACTAAGTTCTTCGTTCATTTTACTAGGAGACCAGACTATATACTCTTTTTCTAAATTGGAAAGAAACAATTGATGACCGTATTTAGTTAGTTTGACATCACTGATATAATATATATCATATATATGGCTTGTAATTCTCCATTATTATATACTTGTTCAAGCATTCGTCTAAATTATTGTGGTGTGATCCAATGATAGGAAACAATCTATTTTTAATCTCCAACCAGTTATTTGGTTTTGGCCCTGTTCTATGAACTTTTTTTTCTCGTCTGCGCTAACACCACTGGTCTTACGAGAATTTGATCGAATCTCCTGCTTCATTGTGTTGTATTTGGCGAGTTCTGACAACACTTAACGAAACTCCTCCTCGGATATCTTTCAATCACCCAGTGCTGTTGAAATATGATCCTCAATGCTGTTCAACTTTCTCGGCAAGTATCTGAATATTATCATGTTTTAATGCTTTCTTTTGCAACTTACGAGAAATGAATTTTATCACTATTCCTGCCAGTCCAGAGACTCCTGCGGCTACTTCCATACCAAGTACAATAAGGCGTGGCAATTTTAGTTGATAATAAACCAACACCGGCTACACCGAGTCCCATGCTAGCTGCTACAAGCGCAGTGTCAACTCTGTCGAGAGCATTCACAGCTCTACGATACTTTTTATACAATCCAAGTCTCAACTCCCTCTCCTTCTCTATTCAATGTTTTATGTTGCTTATTTGATGTCATCGAAATCCATCAACAGTATCCATCTTTTCAGATGCTTCGAGCGCCGGATATGAACCCATAGTGTATATTATTATATCATATAATAGTCTTTAATTATCCCCCGCCGCGCGAAAGCGCGAAGCGGGGGATATAGTATTCACGACCGTCCGTACGTCCGTCCGTACGTCCGTCCGTCCGTACGTCCCACCTGTTTGTTGCCGCGATATCTCAAGAACTAAACACTGGATTGTCTTCATATTTGGAACTATGGTGTATATACAGACTCCGCAGACACCAGTCGGTTTTGGTGACCTTGACCCCATTTTCAAGGTCACAGCAGGCATATCTGCTTTTGGAGTTGGAAAACGGTGTTGCCGCGATATCTCAAGAACTAAACACTGGATTGTCTTCATATTTGGAACTATGGTGTACATACAGACTCCGCAGACACCAGTCGGTTTTGGTGACCTTGATCCCATTTTAAAGGTCACAGCAGGCAAATCTGCTTTTGGAGTTGGAAAACGGTGTTGCCGCGATATCTCAAGAACTAAACACTGGATTGTCTTCATATTTGGAACTATGGTGTATATACAGACACCGCAGACACCAGTCGGTTTTGGTGACCTTGACCCCATTGTCAAGGTCACAGCAGGCAAATCTGCTTTTGGAGTTAGAAAACGGTGTTCCCGCGATATCTCAAGAACTAATCGCTGGATTGTCTTCATATTTGGAACTATAGTGTATATACAGACACCGCATACACCTGTCAGATTTGGTGACCTTGACCCCATTTTCAAGGTCACAGCAGGCAAATCTGTTTTTGGAGTTGGAAAAACCGGTGTTGCCACAATATCTCAAGAACTAATCGCTGGATTGTCTTCATATTTGGTACTATGGTGTACAGGCGGGGGATATTTCGTCACTCTGTGACAAATACTTGTTGGTCTTGCTTCAATGTTTTGTGAGTATACATCAGCCTTTTTAAATGTATATTACGTTGACGCTCGTGTTTCTTGAGCCATTTAATTGATAGATCTGGTAATATTTCGAAGGCATCTTCTGGTGCATCTTCTGGTGCATCTTCCAAACAAGACTTCAATAATAATTGTAGAAAGATCAGGTATAGCATTCAAGTTATCTTTTATATCATTGAATTCAGTAACCAAATATAAACTAACATTTTTTACTGCTGGACGACTCGATAACATATGACCTGGGTTTTCTGGCAGGGGAGAGACTAAAACAGACTACGTTTCGACTAATTTTGACAGAGTTACTGCCCCTGTTTTACGGAGCTTCATTTGCCTTATTGTGAGTGAGGGTACTTAGCTTGTGAAATCAACTCCTACAGTTTCCAGAGAATATCCCTGAAACTCTACACACAAGATGTTGACATGTTGATGATACGCATATGGCAGTCCCATTTCATTTCGACTAATTTTGACAGATTAACTGCGCCTGTATTACAGTGCTTCATTTGACTCGTTAAAAAAAATTCATGCGGGGAATGTTGTGCTCTCAGATCACTCTAGTTCTTTTTGAGGGGATATAAGCCCCGAGTACAATCCCACTATTTATTATCTTAGTTAAATTATGTCCCTTACCCATCATCATATATGGTGGGGTAATGACGATATTCAGTAGCCACTCGATTTTTATCCCCCCGCCATATAATGCGGGGGGATATAGCGATCAGCCAGTCTTGTCTGTCCGTCCGTCTTTAATCTTTTCCTTTTCCGGGGCAGAATTCCAAAACCATTCAGTGTATTTGATCGAAACTTGGCAAATCTATCAGGCACATACTGAAGTGGTGCCTTTTGATATTTTGGGTTTATTTTTTACGTTTCCATGCCAACAAGTTGGACTTAGGTTCTATAGGGTAGAGTTAGTTTCCGGAGCATAACTCAAAACCTATTCAAAACTTTCTAACAAAACTTTGCATGTCTATCAGACTCTTGCTGAACTGGTGCCTTTTGCTATTTAGGAATTTTATTAAAAAATTTCTTAAACAAATCTTATGTGGAATTGCGCATCTCAATAATAGAACTTGATCAGAAACTCTACCAACAACCTTAATGGCACTTTTTGAGGTTATTGTTGCTTATTCCAAGCAAAAAGCTGTAAGGAAATGAGAATAGTCAACTTTCAAAACTTCAACAGTAGTAGCACAGACAAAGTCTGATAACATATTTGCACTTTTACCAAATGATATCATTATATGATAACATTCAGTAAATCATTCTTGACCTCATTCACGTGCACATATAAACACAGGTTATTATTTGCCATGAATTGTTTCCAACGTATCTTCCAACAAAGAAGACTCAACAGAATAGTCAGAGGACAGTGATATTTTGGAAGGCTCTGGTACAAAGCTAACTATGTCCTCAAATTGGTATCAGCATTTGTCTTTAAGTTTGCGTGGCCAGAAGAAACAATTTGCATTCCCGTGCTTTCCCACTTTATGCATACATTCCACAAAAACTTCACCTAGCTCTATATCTTCAACATAACCAGGATATGATATGTTATACATAACGACAACGAATTTCCCCAGGCATTCATTTGTATCAACTGGCTGGTGAGTAGTATAGGTAATGATGGTTCTGGCTCACTTCCACTGGAGCAGGATTCATATACCTATACCACCACTACAGAGGGAATTTTTTATGCGTAAATGATGATGTGATTCAATGATAGTCATAAGATTCAGCTAAATTGGCTCTAGCTCACCACCACCTGGAGTCTATGATATAAATTTTTATAGGTAATGATGGTTCTGGCTCACTTCCACTGGAGCCGGATTCATATACCTATACTGCTACTACAGAGGGAATTTTTTATGTCAAAATGATTATGCGATTTAATGATAGTCATGAGATTGGCTCTAGCTCACCAATACCTGGGGCCAATCATTGCTTTAGATGAGCCTAAATGGTAATAAAAATATTCTTCATTATTTTTATCGATAAAGCAATATTCAACATTTTTATTAAGTTCTTCGTTCATTTTACTAGGAGACCAGACTATATAACTACACTCTTCTTGTAAATTGATAAGAAACAATTGATAACCGTATTTGGTTGGTTTGACATCACTGATATAATAAAAACCTTGTGGTAATTCTCTCCATTTAATAGCTTTTTCGATCTCCATTATTATATATATTTATGTAAGCATTTGTCTAAATGTGATCAAACGATAGTAAGCAATCTATTTTTAATCTCCAACCAGTTCTTTGGTTTTGGCACGGAATAATTGACGCGCCTGTTGCCTCCTCTGTTCTATGAACTTTTTTTTCCTCATCTTCGCTAATACCACTGGTCTTGTGAGATTTTGATCGAATCTCCTG